AGGAATGAGGGGCGTGTTCTGCACCCAAGCAGTTATTCCCACCACTTCAGGACCCTTTACTTTTTTAGGCAACTCTTTACAGTGTTACAAAGATGCTATGGTCTGTAGCCTAACTTTGATAGCCAGAAATTAACTGGATTGGAATATTTAAGCAGAGAATAGTATTAGTTAAGCGATGTGCCACAATTTCATAAAGGAAAATAAGATTTCTGTCCTACAAATTGCTGTACATATGTATATGCATGTATACATCTATTTTTTTGTGTAAAAGAAAAAGCAGTACTTGAATATTTCTACTAGTTCTTTTAACCACGTTCAGTGTTAAAAGTGGCATGTCTTATCTTGGGACAACTCTTGAAACAGATATTAAAGATCCGAAACGTTAACGGATCTAAACCAGAAAGCAGTGAACACGTTTGCAATGGTGGTTTCCAGTTTGAGGATCCCATAGCATTTTACGATGCAGTTCTGTAAATATTATTTTGCTTATTTTGCTCAGTGAAAGCCATTACTCATCGTGCAGAAGGAGTCAAAGTCAGCCAAACATACGCATAGGTAGGCGAGGAGTGTTTCTTAGCCAGTAACTCTTGCCGTTGCAGCTAATAAACTACGTGCATGCTTATGGTGGCACGGAGCTCCATACGGGCTAACAGCCCAAGTATTCACCCTGGTGCTGGGTGCGTTTGGATCCTACACGGAATTTTCTGCTGCCAGATAAAGTCAGTTCAGCTGTAGTTCAGCGCACGTGAGCATCCGTCACAAAAGCACTTTTAGGGTGATTGTATCCCATTCCTCCACATCTGGGGTAAAACCATTATTCAGATGTTAAAATGCCATTATATAAATCTATTTTATGTCGTTATTTCCTCCTTGAATTCTTGTGTTTATTTCTGACCGCCCTGTATTTCAACAAGGTGACAAGAGAATGAGAAAATGTTTAGAAAACACAATTAGGCTGTGATGTGGAAAGCTTTCTTTATTAAGAGAAATGGAAAAGTTTGTGACTCGCTTGGAAAGAAGGCAAAGAAATATAAAGGAGTTATAGAGGTGCATAAAAATATACAGTACTATTTTTCAGAATATAAAGCAGATATTTCTTTTGCTGTAATACAAGAAGTTATTTATTGGAATTGCAAGGCAAGAAACGTAAAACTAGTTAAAGTCATATAAATTTGTATTACGCTGCATAATAAGCATGTGGAACTCATTACCACTGAAAATCATTGACACCAAGAGAGCGGTAGGTTGTTTTATTATTATTATTTTTACTAAAGATTAAATTTATTAAATAAAAATAGAGACATTGTTTGTCTTCAAATTAGAGTTATAAAAGACAATGGGTTTCAGAGTATTACTAGCTGTTGATGGAAAAGTAAGCAAGTGTCTTTATGGGCGACCAAAACCTGCCCATCAAAATGATTCTTGAAGTATTTTGCACTGACCTTTGCCAAAAGCGAGGCAGCGGGACGATGGGCTGATCTGGGAGCGGTTCCTGTATTCCTCTGCATTACCGTAGTCCAAGTGCATTTGGAGGAAGCTATTCAGGGAAAAACATGCCATGACCTGAAGTAGTTCTTACTGGAGTCTCAGGATATTAAAGGACCATTTCATCCACTGTGGAAATCGGCTGGGTGGAAAATTCTGCACAGCACTATAGGTGGAAGGAAAACTTTTTTGCAGGTGCAGTTGAGTAAAATTCCGCTTTTAGGAATTGCAGTAGCATCTGAAATATCTGCTGTGGATAGATCAGCCCCCAGGTTTTTAATATTCACTTTTAAAGACACCTGTGCGGTGAGCTGTGTGAACCTCCCTACTTATCCGTCTTGGAAGGAGGGAGGGCTGAGTCAAGCCTGCTGGAATTCAAAGTTAAGCTTTCTGATGTGCTGGTCATCAGAAGTTTTGCTGAGATTAGTGAGCCAGCTCTTGCAGTTTAGCATCACTTGGAATATGTGCTGAATTCTTTCTATTATGTAGGCTACTTGGGGCATTCAGCACATATAAACCTATAATTAGTCCTTCTGAAAGAAAGCACTGTCCTGTCGCTGCTAATATGCTGATCTCAATGTGTAACAGTGCCCTGTATCTGTTGTTATAATATTTCTACTGCCATAATACACACTGGCTTATAAAAAGGAAGCAGGGTTTGTAAAGCTTGCACAGCGGTCCACAGTTTTGACTGATTCCTTCTGATGTTTAAAAATAAGAACCGTGTGAATGCAAATTTATTATTTTCAAAAACATCACCCTCCCCAAAGCCTAGGAAACAGGATGCAGCTGTTGCTTTTTGATTTGAATCACAGTCAATTAATGTTAATGATTGGTAAATTTGAATCAGTCTCATGATTTGAATAAAAGATTAGTCTAATTTTTTATTTTCATGTGTACATGATAGCAATTAAACATTGTTGCTTGTGTAATCCGTTGCTATACTCTATGACATTAAGCAACTGGAATATTTGACCTCTGCTACAGCAAATGATAAAATATAAGCGCAGCCAAATTACTGCAGAAAGTTAAATTTGAATATTTTACCAGCTTTCTGTTTAATTTCAATAATTTATAGCAGATGCACAACTTAGTACTGTACTCTCATACATCTTTCTTTTCCTCACCATTGATTGGTTCATGAACAGTTGCTATTTATTATTTATTTTGAAAGCTTTTCGGAGAAACCCCAGGAGATGGATCTTGTATCCATTCCTTAAGGCAAGTAGTAATATCAAATACTGTAATAATAAAAAAGCAATAGTGTTTCGAGCAAAAAGTAAAAAAAAAAAAAAAAAGCAAGTTATAGATTGCTTGCTTTTTACTGACTAAATAATGATGATTTAAAAAAAACTCTCTAGAACGTAATATCGTAATAATTTTATTTTTAGAAGGTGGATTAATAGGCACAGAGAATAAAGTCTGAAGGAAGGTCAACGGCAGCACAAATTACTCAACCGGTGTCTCAGTCCATTCAGTGGAGCGTTTTGGCAGTAGGATCTCAAAGCCCATTAATTTCTTCACTTCTCCGCAATAAGACAAGCAACTGCCTTTCAGATTAACTGAGTTGACAGTGTTTATCATAATTCAGATATTTGTCCACTGGAAACTTGACTTTGATCGCTGAGTTTTTGCAGAGAGTTCTCAGTTGCCTCTGCTCTCAGCTGGATTTTAACAGAACCTCATGAAACAGCAACAGGTCTAGATAAGCTCAGCGTGCGTTTACTTTGCAAGCTCTGCTGACTTTCTCACTTACCCCTGTTTCTTACCTAATTTTTCTGCCTGGCTTGCTCACTCAGGCAGTGATTTGCCCAAGTTCAGTGTTGAATGTTTGGCTCATCTTTCTCTCTCATTTCTGGATTGTTGCATCCTAGCCTTACTATTGTCCTGTTTCTTTTTAATGTCTTCATTTTTCATTCAAACAAACAAACAAACCAAAACCACAGAGAAAGAAAACAAACAACCCCCCCAACTTTACATTTTGGGTGCAACTAAGACCTGCTGTGATGAGTTACGGTAATGACTGACTGAAAGCAGTAAATTCATCTTTGCTTTAGACTCCAGTTCTGCCAGGGTTATGCTTACCTTGATGCAGGCAAAAACCCTCAGCTGTCTCACTAGGTTTTCTGGACTTTGGGCAGTTGTAGAAAAAAAAAAAGATTTGAAAATCAGTGAATCCTGAAACTTGATATTAATATTACCAAGTTAGCTATTTGGTTTGTTTTTACCAGAAAGCTAAACCATCACCACTATTCCGGTGAGTGTTCTCCCTGTTTGCCTCCACCTGCAGCGTTCCTACTTCTTTTCCAAAGGACTGACACTCCCTCCCCCCTTATCTTCTCATCTCTCCATCTATTTCATCTTTTTTCTTTATGTATGAGCCAGACTCCATACAGGTAGATGGTTACTGCTGGTGCTGCTTTTAAGCTAACGAAGTTCTCTTGCCTACCTCCTGGTAGTGATCCCTTTTTTTAGCCCAGAGCTACGGTAGTCAGAAGTGGAAGAATTAGCATTCAGAGCCAGAGAAATACCTGGTTTTATATAGCTGCAACCCTACAGCTGCGTGGGCAGGTAATAAATTACAGCTCTTCCTTCAAAATCATGACAGTTTTGTCAAAAGTGGCATCTAGGTACGCAGCTGAGCTCAAACATAAAAACCAAGGTACTGACCTACTCGGGCAAAATACCTACTCCTGAAAACTTTTGCTAAGCAGTAGAAGAATAAACTTGGAAGATGTGGGCCTGCTGGTGAATGGGGTGGTTGATTTAGTGACAGCAGATGCAAGTAATAAGGGTGAGGATACTCTGTGCCTTCTTTATCTTGGTCTTCGCAGGTCTCTCAGGCTGGTGTGCCTGGAGCAGAGTTAGAGGAAATGCCAGTAGTGGAAAAGGATTGAGTCAGGGGTCATCTCTGAAAGTCTGAATAGTGAGGGAGGTCCCTGGTGACTGAAGAAAGGCCACTGTTCAAGCTGTCTTCAGAAAGGTCAAGAAGAGGAATTAAAAGTTGATCAGCTTCCCTTCAAGTCCTGGGAAGATCACGGAGCAGGCCATCTTGGAAGCAATTTCCAGGCACATGAAGGACAAAGTGGTAACTGGAAATAGCCAGAATGGATTTACTAAGAGTGAATCGTATCTGACAGACCTGCTTGCTTTCTGTGATTAAATGACTCTATCTGTGGATGCGTGTAAGGCAATGGATGTTTTCTAGCTTGACAGTAGAAAGCCTTTTGACACGGTCTCCAGGAACATCCTTGTATCCATTATACTCCAAATGGATGGACTGCCAGCTGAGTGAAAAACTGGCTGGATCACTGGGCTCAAAGTGTGGTGGTTAATGGCTTGTACTTTACCTAGAGGCTCATTCCAAGTGGAGGACTATAGGAGTTTATACTGGGACATGCCCTGTTTGATATCAAGAACCCAAAGGAGGAAATGGTGGAGTGCATGCTCACTATTTTGCAGATGATGCCAAACTGCAGTCTGGACATGCGAGGGCAGGGCTGCCGTTCAGAGGGACCTGGATAGGCTGGAGGAACGGGCTGACAGGAACCTCATGAAATTCAACAAGGACAAATGCAAAGTCCTACCCCTGGGATGGTCAAATCCCCTGCACTGATACAGACTGGGGACAGACTGGCTGGGCAGCAGCTCTGTCGATGACGACTTGGGGGTCCTGGCTAATGCCAGGCTAAACACAAGTCTGCCCCCAGAGCAGAGTCAGCAGAATACCAAGAATGGCAGAATACCAAGAATACCAGAATTCCCAGTCTCAGCTTTTCCTGTCCTTTTTGGCACAACGTTTTGCAGCCCTCAGGGCTCAAACCATGTCTGGTGAAGCCTTAATGGACTTTGCACTGGCATGGCTGAGATGTGCTCACACGTGGCCTTTTGCTGGCTCACCCATGGGGATGGCTGACCGTGGTGAACGCATTGCAATGAGCAGCTGAGGATGGTAATATTTTAAACCCCATTGCTTGAATCTATCGGGGGTTTCAACATGGGCAAATAAATGTGGAATATAGACTTGGCTAGTAGCTTATAGTGGTTTAATTGTTATGTTTTCCATGCAAATAGCCTGAACAATTGAACTAAAAATAATCAATACCAAGCGATGGTTGCTGTCAGCCCTGTATTTAGCTATTTTGTGTCTGTGCTTGATGGATATGCATGTATTTGTAGGTTGTGCTAGATATTCTCTGACTATGAAATTGCAGGAGCAGGTTGTGAAACATGTATGAAATTAAAATTTTGGATGCATAGATGGCATAAAAATATGGATGGCTGTGGAGACTTTGCTATGCAGGACTATGATGTGCATTTCTAAATAGCTGGAAAAGCTCATCAGACCTTGCAAGGACGAGAGAAAAAAAAAGAAGACTCCTTAAATGGCTTTAAAATCTAAGCAAATCTTGGTGCCTTCTTTCCTCACTGCTGGATTTCCCCTTACCCTAGGCTGAAAGCTGTTTCAAAGGAAGAACTTCAAGTTCTCGCTTTTAAGTTTGGCACCATTTTTATCGCGTTTACATGTCATTTAATTCTATCCTTTGCAGGACCGGTGTGGGCACAATGGATTCTGAGGAGGAAAAACCTGAAAGGCTTCAAGAAAAGGGGGTGGGCCAGGTGTCCAGGAATAGTTTTTACCCTTTTTTCTGCAAATGGAAACCTCTTGCTAGCTGGGAGAATGAGATTTGGTTCAGCGCTTGTTCATTTGAATGAAATATGGTTTATGAAAATGGAGCATTTATCATTGGTCTTGCCTTTCCTGCTGTTTTCCCTTGCTGCATTTTGATTTAGAGTAACAAGATCCCAACTGGGAAAGGAAAGCGAAAAGAAAGTTTGGGACTCTAGCTGGGCACTGGAGTTTCTTTGAGATGTGTAACTCGTCTGTACACCTCGGTTTTATATTTCTCAGTAAAAGTAAAGAAAATAACAATGGGTACTAAATGGGATAGCAGTGAACTTTGTGTTAGGACTGAACAATAGATCTCATGATAAGATGCATGTGAAAGATAAAGTCATGGTTGATAGTCCTTTCACTGTAATGTTTTTGTGCATGCTGTTTATAATGCATTATTAACTGGTTTTGACTTTTTTTTTTTGTAAATTAATGAAATTCTATACTTTTTCCTACACTGATCTTTATCCTGTAACAGATGAACAGACATCTACATCTCGTGATTGTTACTAGGATGTTTGTCTGGGCAATTCAGAGGTTTTAGGCAATATTAGGGAAAGGATATGAATTATATTTATAGCCACTTGTATTCATGATGGAAAATAAATATTCATTCTTCAAAGCATGGAAGGACAGGGCTGCCCATAATTTGGTAGAGGCTGCAGTGTGTTGCCTGCTGTGGTTGTCAGGGACTGCTGTCAGATTGGTTAGTCTGGCACTCTGTAGGGGGAAGAAAAATTATTCTACAACCAACATAGTACTGTCTCCCTTAGAAGTTGTAATGTTCTTTATTTGTATTGAATTTCATTTGGGGTTTACATGCAACTTTTAATCACAGGTCAAAACTAGGAAAAGAAACTGAAAGTCTTCATTGGAGAGTAAAAGAAAAAAAGTATCTAATTTTATTCTCATTAAAAGCATTCAGTTTGACTCCTAAATGTGACCAGAACAAATGTTTTGGGATAGAATATCTGTATGATAAGTACTTTTACGGGAAAAAAGACTTTAATGTTGTATGCCTTTTCTTACAGGAAATTAAAATGCATGACTGACAGTGAAACTGTTGCACCTGACTGGCCTTACTACAAAACCATTGATAGGATCTTATCCAAAGTGACAGACCACAGCGATGTGAAAATGCATGAAAATCAGCAACCAGGTCCTTCTACATCACAGACGGAGGCCTCGCAGTCTCCATCAGCTAAGTCTACACCGCTCTATTTGCCATATAACCAGTTTACGTATGAAGGAAGGGAAGAGTGCTTTGAAGATGAACATTCAGAGAGCTCATCAAGCTTACTTTCTTACAAGCTGAGGTAGCATCTGTTTTTCCCCCTTTCTTGTATTTCACAGAACGAACCGGATCTGCTATGTAAAGGGGACACCCTAGCACATTTTTCTCTAACAGCTGTTGTATCTTTTCTGTAAATCACAAATAAGATCTGTTCCCCAGTCTCAGCCCCTTGGCTGAATTAGGGCACTTTCTTTATTCCTTTATGAGAGACTGGAAGGGAGTAGGAGGACTGGGCAAAAAGTTGTAGAATATTGCCAAAACTCAGCATGCATGTCACTGCTCACACAAGGTAGAGTGTTTGTAATAAGAGTATAGGCATGTTCAAGAGAGTCCTGCCGTGCAATCAGAGATAGAACATACTGCTTAGATGATTTCTGGCTTGCTCTAGTTTTCCTTTTGGTATGAGTATGACATTTCTCTGGCTTCAGCTTTTATTAAGATGGTGAAAAGATGCAAACTAAATATTTCTGTGGGCACTGAAATGCTACTTATGCAGTTTGAAAGTGCATTGCAACATTTTTAATACAATTGAGAATGTCACTTTTTCAAAGTAAATGCTGGTTTGAGAATGCAAACGTGTTTCCTTTTTTGATAAGGATAAAAGGCAGGGTTGTACACTTGATACAAATTTTGTATTTTACTGGTCTCATTTTTCATCCAAAGTGGTGTGAAATAAGGGTTGATTACAGTTTTCTGTCAGGAAAAAAAGTCGGTCCTAGAGATCCTTATCGTGAATTTGTGAGGCTTTAACTATAGCAGTCAAATTATCTGTCAGTCATGCAACTGAGAAGGTGTTGAGCTGGAAGAAGAACCAACCTAACAAGTTCGGATTATTGTTTCCAGGCCTGCTCTTGGATCAATAAAACTAGGGTAAATTCATTCAATCATTCAAGCAAATAGCCCTTGAATAGCTGATTATTTTTAAAAACTTTTCTTTTGCAATCGGATGTATATTAGGGTGTATAATTCTTGAACTGTAGCAACCTTTTTATTCACAAGCAACAATTTTTTCATCATAGTTCATTGTAAATAGTTGATATCCCTGATACACAGTCTCTCTTGACTTTAGGATCTGCAGGCTCCCAGATCACGTGTCTGATGCAATTACTTTTTTTCCCAATTCACAGTTTGATTTCCAATAATACTATTTAATATTTAACTAGAAGGTCACTTTCCCACAAACACGACGTATAGCATATTCACTAGACTATTTGATAACATCAGACTTTTTAAAAATGCCAGATGTTAAGTTTCTTCAGTTTAGGGACAACTCCAGGACAACACAGATTTTGTACCGTAGGTGGCTAGTAGGGGAGGACAGAGGTCACCACACCAGGTTTCATTGCAGAATGAAGACAAGTCATCACCGAAGTCAAGCTGATCAACCGCAAATGCATACCTATTGCACTTACAGTTTATATGTGGACTCCCACTCTCATGTAGGTGCTTTCATTTACA